ATAATGTAGTATTTAAGTTCATTTGGCAAAAAGGGTTGAATTGCTTAACCCATGGAAGGATTGTCTATCTCTACATAATGTATCAATCTTTACATGATTATGACTATCATCTAACAGAGATAAGATGCGCAATATTTTAGCTCATTTGGTTAAAACTATGAGATCAAGAAAGTGGTGCTAGGAACAAGCTTAAACATCAAGACATGTTGAGCTAATCAGGTTTGATCAGGTAAATTATAACTCAAACATATTTTGTTTCTTATTTATGTGACTACCAGAATCAAGGAAAAACTTTTTAAATAACGACCATTTACCTTAGGATATTACCTTTGTCATTGGAGCATGATGTCACCATATGACGAAGGGTAGATGACTCGTGATGGTCCTTCCCTTTGAAGTTTTCCTTGTTTAGCTAGTCTTGTAGCTTGAGCTGTTCATGAGCTTCTTGTTTCCTTGATCACACCTTTTCTTTCTCATCCTTTTGTCATGCCATCTTTCTACTCTTTGATCTTTTGTCAGCTTGTTAGGGGATTTTTAACTTTTTGCCATCTTACAGATGGCACTCCTTCGTTTGCCAGCTTTGTGCACACCCCGACACATTTGCCATCGTAAACAGTAACCCTCCTACGTTTTTGCCATTTTTGCTGAGGTGGCATGCCAGATGGGCACGCCAGTGTGGCAGGGAGCCTAGGAGCCCTAACTTGGCACGCAAAATGACCATGCTACCCATGCCTCCTTCTTTTGTCTCTAGCCAGCCTAGCCCTGAGTCAAACCTAGTCCACTCACCCTTCTTGCCCACTCCTGGCGACATCGACGGCGGCTATGGTGAACGCGGTGGTGGCGGCGGCATCGAGTCTCCTTCCCCTTCCTTAGACGTAGGACGACCATACTAGGTACTGCCCGCACTCTCCTAAACCCTATTTCCCTAGTTGCGTTCCCCAATCTAGGGTTTCAATTTGATTCGGTTTCGATTTGATTGGTGGTCCATTTGATTATAGTGATGTTGCGGTAGCCATTGTTGTTGATCATATGCGCTAAAACGAAGTGGACTGACTGCCCTCCTTGGTAAGTTTGATGTGCTATAGTGTTTGGTGTAGTTTTTGGGATCCTGTAGTGTTTTGGAGTTGGATGTCTCCTAACTCCACATGTTTCTTTATTTGTTTATGATTATTGTCAGGATTGATCCTGGCAATGCGTTTAGAATCCACATTAGCGTCGCTAAGGACACAACCAATGTTGATTATGGATCTGTTAAAATGGGTGACCAAGAGCATGATGTTTGGATTGATCTTACCAGTCACTGCTCTTTGTCTAAATTTGTGGATAAAATGGCTAGAAAGATCATTTGGGGTAGTGGACAGCAGCTAGTTGTTTGGGGTCTAGACAAGGAGAGTGGGACAGAATGGAAGGTTACTACTGATGAGCAGTTCAAGGAGATAAAAGAAGCTAGATGGGATGAGAAGGAAATGGATGTTAGCTGTGAAGTACTTGATAAGGAAAAGGTATCATCTAGACAGAACAGAGATGCAGTAGCAGAAAATGTGCCAAATGAGCATAGTGGTCATGCCACCTTCGGTGTAACAGTAGAGCAAGGAAATGTTGAATGCATAGATGATGCTTGTAGCAGTCCAGAGCATACAAAATTAGATGATGTTATTGATTGGTCAGCTTTCACAATATTACCTGAGGAAAACTTAGATGGGGATGCTACTATTTTAGTGGATGAGGAACAAATCTATGAAGCCATGGGCTTCAAAGCTATAGATGAGGGGATAGCAGGTGTTGATGGTCCACCAGAGATTCTAGTGCCAGAGATTCCTCCTGAGGTGGAAGAAGAAATGGAAGCAGCAGCTATCCCTGTTGATGATAATGAAGCAACGGAGCCCTTGTTTTTCTATGATAGAGACAATCCTGACATGTCTATAGGCACATTGTATCCATCAATGCCTGAATTCAGATTAGCAGTTAAGCAACATGCTATAGTCAAAGAGTTTGAGTTGGGCACTGAGAAATCTAATCCTGAAAGGTTTAGAGAATTTTGCAAATCAAAAGGATGCAAGTGGATTATTAGAGCTAGAACTCAGAGAGATAATAGTGTCACGGTATATATTACTAACTATTTTTTGTTCTAGAACATGTCACTATTTTTGATCTAGTTAACCTGCTGTTCTATGGTTTGTATGAAACTTAGTTCATAAATATAGTCTAATGTTGGCTTGCTTGTTTGTTTGTTTGCAGATACAAATAAACTCGAGTGTGCCTACTTGTGCCTCAAGAAGGAGAGTTTTGAATAGGATGGCATCCTAGGCATGGATTGTAGAGAGAGCAGTGCCTCTGCTTAAAGACATGCCTTAGATGGAGGCAAACGAGCTCAAAGAAGAACTTGAGAAGAAATACAAGATCAACATAAATTACCAGACTTGCTGGTATGGTAGGTAGAGGGTTGCAGATAAGCTTTTTGGTAAGTGGGACGATTCATTTGATTGGTTATTCAGATTCAAAGCAGAGATAGAGCTTAGGTCCCTGGGTAGTGTTGTTGAGATAGACACTATGAAAGTAGGCAAGGTTCATTTTAGTAGATTTTTCTATGCATTTAAGGGTAGTATAGATGGCTCCCTAGAGGGCTACAGGCCATACATTAGTATAGATTCCACTGCTCTCAATGGTCAGTGGAATGGACACATGCCTGCAGCCAATGCTATAGATGGGCACAATTGGATGTTCCCAATAGCATTTGGTTTCTTTGATTCTGAGACCAAAGAGAACTAGATTTGGTTCATGGAGCAGTTTGGCAAGGCACTTGGTCCATTAGACAAACTAGCTGTGTGCATAGATGCCTGCAAGGGTCTAGACGCTATAGTTAAACAGGTATTCCCAAGGGTAGAGCAGAGGGAATGTTTTAGACATTTGATGGACAACATGGATAAATGGTTTTCTCAAGGGTAGGGTAGTGGTTCATTGTTGGGTCAATACATGTGGCCAGCAGCTAGAGCTTACACAGAGGTGAAGTATGAGAGGCTCGTGGTCAAGGTTGTTGTAGGTTCAGCAGACATCTTACCTTGGCTAAATGAGCATCACAAGTTACTCTGGGCTAGAAGCAAGTTCTCAGCAGACATTAAGTGTGACTACATAAACAATAATCTTGGTGAGTGCTGGAATTCTTGGATCAAACAGCTCAAAGACCTGCCACTGGACTCCCTTGTAGATGCAATTAGGATCAAGACAATGGTCTTGTTTGAGAAAAGAAGGAAGATCTCACTAGCTTTGATTAGTGCCATCCTTCATGCTGTCATTCACCAGCTAAATGGTACCAACAAGGGACTAGATCATCTCTAGGTGACTAAAGGGAACCCCCAAGAAGCTGAAGTGACTATGATGTACAGGGTGAGGAGATCAAAAGGCATGTTGTCTACCTAGATCTGTAGGAGTGTACATGTAGGGAGTGGCAGGTTAGTGGCAAGCCCTGCCTACATGCCCTTGCTGTGATCACCACTAAAAGGCAGCCAGACATGGAAAAGTATGTCAATGGGTACTACTCAGTGAAGAAGTTATAGGCAACTTATGCAGGTGTGATACCCAGCATAATTGAAAAGCAACAATGGCCTGCAGTTGATAAGGGCTTCAAAGTGTTTCCACCAATGGCCAAGAAAAAGAAATGACCTAGGAGAGAAAGGAAGAATAGGATTCTCAGCTATTTGGAGAGGATAGGGAAAGCAACAAGGCAAGTGACATGTAAGAGTTGTGGTGAGCTTGGCCACATAGCCACTAGCTGGAGGTGTCCACTAATAGGCACCAAAAAAAGGTATGCTTCTTTTGCAATTTCATCAATTATTCTTACACTAATCTATCTAAGTTACCAACACAACATGTATAGGAAGAGGACCAAGAAGACAACCACTAAGTCTAGAAGGAAGAAGTAGAAACCTAGTGAGGATGAACCAGCAAATGAGGGAGAGGAAACATCAGCTCCCACCACTAAGGCAGCAACAACAAAGACTACAAGGAAGAAGAAGAAAACTACTGACAAAGAAACAACTAAGGAGGGAGAGGTAGCAACAAAGGAACCTACAAGGACACCAAGGACTAGAGTAGCATCAGCAAGGGAGGCAGCAGTTAAGTAAGCACATGAAGGAGCTACAGGCCAAGCTATGCAAGGATCAGCAGTGCAGATGGATCAAGTGCCAGGCAGCAAAAGGTTTGTTGCTTCCATTTACATCAACTAGCCACTAATGTACTGTGAGATGCACAAGCAACTAACTAGTTATTCACTTGTAGGAGGCTAGACTTGGATGAACCAGTGCCACTAGAGATAGTACCAGTAGATGAAGCTGTAGCAGTGCAACCAGCCAAAAAAATGACCCCAAGGAAGAAACAGCTAGCTACTAAGGTGAAGAAGGCAACACCAACAAAGGCTGGCAAAGGCTATTCTTTTTTATGTATTTTGGAGACAGGAACTCCTATGACCAATTATGTATGGCTGTCATGGACATGTTATGTATGGGACGAACAAGTTATGTTTGGTTGTCATTACCAGTATGGACCTGTTATGTATGTCTCTCATGTGTCAGTATGGACCTATAATTTATGGCTATCATTGCTAGTATGGACATGTTATGTATGGACCAGTTGTGTATGGCAACTCCCAAACCTGATAATGGATTAGCTTGGTATGCAAATTTCTATCAATTTCATCATCTTGTTGGCTGTCATGGAATTTTTGGCTATTGTCTTGACAACAGAACCATTTTATGAAACATACAATAGGCAAGAAAATTAGATAGCATTTCCATTGCATTAACATGTTCAGCATACATTTTCCAACTACTGAGAACAACCATTCACTTGAACACATACATTATGGGAACAATGCATACAACAAATTACACTAAAATCAACATCTTAAGCAAAGAAATCAGGGCATCTATCTTGGCTTCCGTGATGTTCTTCCCAGCACACTTTGATTGTGCTTCTTCTTCACCAAATCCCTAAGCTTCTTCTACTTATTCTGCACCCAGGCTAGCTTTAAGATCAATGACAACAAACTTCAACTCCACCAGCTTCTTCAAGTATGTTTTCTGGAATTCATAGAACCTACATCTACCAGCCATCTGCAAAATGCCCAACAGTTAGGGTTCTTCAACCAAACCCAAAACCAAAACCAAAACCAAGAAAAATTCAAAATGGATCAAGGAAAACCCTTACCCTGGGCACATTTCTAGGACACTTGAAGAACATGTGCCCCTGGTTGCCATTCTCTGTTGTCCTCACTATCAGCTCGATTACCCTCTCTCCCTTGCATGTGGGACACACGATCAGCAGGAGCCCAGTCTCCTTTCCAGTGTCTTCCTCCTCGATAGCCCATGACACCATGCTCCTTGACGAAGAGGGCTCCATCCTCCGAGCCATGGGGTGCACAGGGGACGAGGATCAGCCATCACCGTCACTAGGGAAGAGAATGGGTGAGAGGGGGAAGAAGGGGGAGTGGACTGGGTTTGACTCGGGGCTGGACCGGCTAGAGACAGAAGAAGGAGGCAAGAGCAGCGTGGTCATTTCACATGCTAAGTTAGGGCTCCCAGGCTCCTTGCCATGCTGGCGTGCCCATCTGACATGCCATCTCAGCAAAAATGGCAAAAACGTAGGAGGGTTATTGTTTGCTATGGCAAATGTGTAGGGGCATGCACAAAGCTGGCAAATGAAGGAGTGCCATCTGTAAGGATGGCAAAAAGTTAAAAATCCCCCTTGTTAGACCCTCTGCCTCACTCATTGTTTCATGCAGTTCTTCCATCCATGATGAATGAGCTGTGTCATCTTTGCGCAATGTTATTGGGGTTCATCATGTGCCTTGCTTCATCTTTGATTTGAATTATCTCGTGACTTACCCAAATTGAATTGAGAATTTGCTGCAGGGGTTAGCCCAACAAAATATCTAATATCTACTAAAGCAATTTTTAGTTCAATAACCAAACTAGACTCCATGTCTAATTTGATTAAGGAAGGCATTTTAACCTAAGCACCTCGCTTAATTTAAAAAACCTTTGGAAGTATGTCGAGTACTTCCAAACCAAAACTTACTATGGCCAACAAAGGTAACATGAAAGCACTATAGAGATTTACTCAAATAAAGATGAAAGAGCATGATTATTAACTAGCAAATTGAGCATGGCTTAAAGGTAGAAACAACCATGGTGGATTAGCAACATGGCATATGATTTTTTAGAGAAGTTCATCCCCCACACTTGAATTTTTCAAGGCAAAAATCAAGTTTGGATGGATGTGATTAAATGTTGCATGGTGTTTGGTTGGACATACCGTGAGTCATCATCGTTCATCCTTTTTCCTTTAGACCTGGAATGGTTAGTGATAATAATACCCGAAGGAATATTTTCACAATTATGTTTCTATACTTATTTCACAAGGGCATCACAGCAAAAAAGGGTAAAAGCTCATGTTATCTCCCGAGAGTGTTTGTTTTAGGATAGAAGCTTGTCCTTGGGAAACCTTCGAATTGCATTTCTAATAGGTGAAGTGGTTTCCCCTCCAACACCAACCTTTAGGTACCTATCTCAAGATTCATGCCTATGAGATTTGCAATATTTATGATAAACATATGCATCTACAACCACCCCTTCAAAGTCTTTATGAATAGAAAGTATAAGGGGGTTGAGGATCTCGTGTGTGGCAATGTTGGAAAGACCAATTGGTTTAGGAGATTTCTCATGTGAGGATGGATTTGATGAGGTGGTCATGAAATAACTTCCATGTTCGCTAATGAAGTCTTCCTTTTCAATCTCCAAGGGTGTTTCTTTATGAATGTCTATAGGCGAAAACATTGTCTCCATCATTCCATGCCTATGACATTCATTAGACATTTTATTGTCCAAGATTTCCCTTAGATTGGTAACTCTCGGGTTGGTCTTGTCTAAAACCTCATCCATCCATTCAATGGCAAAGGCACATAAGTTCTTAATATCCTCCAGCCATTGTTGTTGCTCTTCTTAGTCTTCTTTGTGGCCTTCATGATTCCTATGCTTTGGTTGTCTTAGTGGATTTCTAGGGTCATCATGAGACTGAGGAGAAAGAGCATAAGAGGGATCATCGGGGTCAAGGATGTGTTGAAAGATGGGTTCATATGAGACATCTAATGTGGGCATAGAAGGGGAGAATATAGGATTGGCTTCTAAATAGCTTGGCTCTCCTTCTATGGCATCACTAGACATGTCATCCTTGAATTCTTCCTGATGTCCCATATGGGAATAAGGACGCTTCTTAAGAGATCCCTTCTTGAGAGGATTTGAATTATATTTGCTCGAAGGTCTCTTATGAAGATGAAAATTTAATGTTCTCCCAAAATCAGCAACAAGAAGGTCATCCTTAATTTGAATAGGTATTTCCAAAGGTGGAATTCCTTCTTCTCTCAGGGGATTTTGGGGTATTGATAGTTCAGGATTGATAGCTAAATCCTAGGATTGGTGTGGTTGTGATTTGGCTATCAAAACTTTCTCTTCTTTTTTGGGAGGTGATTCATTCTCTTTCTCGAGGAGTTCATTATGAATGCTAGTGTAGGGAGTGATTCCACTAATTCTATTCAGCATAGACCTTGCTTCCCTGGCAGACAAATGAAGAAAAGCTCCTCTAGAGGCTACATCAAGGGATTCCCTAGAATCCTTGCTAAGACCCATGTAAAAATGTTGTAGAAGTACTAGGTCTCGAATGGCAAGGTCTGAGCTAGTGAAGATAAGTTCATTAAAATGATCCCATGATGTACCAAGAGATTCTTCTTCTATTTGTCTAAAATTTAGAACCTCTTAATGAAGGCTAACCACTTTAGAGATAGGAAAGAAACATAAACAAAATTTAGAGCATAACGTTACCCAATCTCCTTGCATACTTCCTACGGTTTGACTATACCAATGTTTAGCTCTTCCCATCAAAGAGAACAGAAACAACTTCCATCTTAAGGTCTTGTCAGACATGCCAGCAATACGCAAGCATGCACAAGTCTACTCAAACTCTCGTAGGTGCGAGTATGGGTTTTCATTGCCTTCTCCCAAGAAGGATTGATCCCTAATTAGTTTTATTAAACACGGGTGCAGCTCATAGCCAGGTGTTAGGATAGGCTCTATAGACTTAGGTGGCCCAAAGCTTACGCTCGTGGGTTCAGTGTATTGATAGATAGGAGTGGAATTGATAATAGAAAAGAAAAGAAAAGAATGAAGGAATAAAAAGATAAAAGAGTATGATACAAGGTTAAGCTAGGTTCGTAGTTAATTCAGCAACCATTTCCTCGGCAATGGCGCCAGAAAGCTTGTTGGTATATTTAACGCATACAAATAAATCCGCAAGCGCATGGATACCGCTATAGCTTTCACCCGGAGGTATTCCAAGTATCGTATCCTCAGGGAAATGTGTGAGGTTAACTACGGTCCAACTTAACCTGGAGTAGCAACAAGACTTAAGAAAGTTGGGAGTGTTGAGGATATCGCTAATGTCTTCTAGTTCTAATTTTGATAAGCTATGTCTTCTATTGTTTGACTGGGGATATTACAAAGGGAAACACAGACAGAGTATGTTTCCTATAATAACTAAATCCTGCTAGTCATACAAATGGGAGGTGGACTATAGAGGATTCAATGAGGCTATAAGAGTTACTCTCATGAGCTACCACCAATCTAGAATGTAGGGTACATCCACGAGTTACCCGAGTCTAAGCACCATGTTTACACTACAAATAATACTTTAACCTAAGGCCAATTGATTAAAGCACTCAAAAGAGACTCGCAAACCAGAAGAACAATATAAACATGTTACTTAAATCAGAAGTGGATTACCAGAGAAATCTCAGATGCAAGGTTGACTTCCGCGAAGGTACAAGCCATAGAGAGAGCACCGATAGGCCGGCATCTCCTCCAAACTCTTCCCTCACTCTCCATCTCTCTATTTCTAAAGACTAGATCCTTTGGAGTTCTAATCTTCTCTTGATAGCTAGCTCTAATCTTCATGAGGAGAATATGAATTAGGGTTTCAAGATCTCTCTCAGGGAGGGGGCAGGGGCTAGTATATATAGCCCTGAGGGTCCAACGTGAGCCCTTGGATCAAACTGACTTAAGCAACAGCTTAGATGCAACCTCAAAGGGGGTGGGGAACCGACATATGAAGCAAGCTAATAGGTGGGGCCCATAGGGGAGAGCGGCCCCACCTACAGGCCGGGCGGCCCCACATGGCAGTGGGTCGAGCCTCGCTTTAGTGATTTGCCTTCTAGACCCTTCTTGAGTCTTCCCACGTAGGTACCACGGCGGAATTCCGTAATTTCCTTCGACGATTAAGTCCTCCTTGGTGGTTTTCTGGATAAACCCTGCTGAAAACATAGATTCATCAAAACTCGTGGAATTTATTAGTTTAAACCCCTAAACCTTCATTGGTGATTGCATTTATGCCCTTATCCATGTTTAATTGACGGTTTATAATGGTTGTTAACTACCGTCAATAGCTACCCGAGAGCACAGTACTCCACCTCCCTGCGCCACTCCTGGTGGATTCACAGGATGTGTACACGCTACTCTCGCCATCTCTCCACTTCCAGTGCATGGTTGACCTTTCACATAATGAAATAGCTGAGGTATTAGGTTTACCAAAGTATGTGACCAGTACTGCAAGGTCTCGAACACGATAGGTCTACAACAGTATGGTCCTCAATCGACATAGGCAGAACGGGCATGATCAGGTGAACCTATCTTCCCAACTTACCTTAACACTAGTCCTGCCCGGTCTCAATTTAAACATCATTATCATCATGGTATACTCCTGACCCATAAATAGAGTCGAGAAGTGCAAGGTAGAACCTATTCCTAGCAAACGATGAAACCATCATTCGACTTCTATTGAAGTCTAAGCATTACTAAGCATTAGAGATGTCGACTTATTCATACTAGCAGGGTACGACAAAGGATACCTGACTATCAAGGTAATCATGCAGCAATGGTATTCGACCAAAACCTAATTACCTAATGCACATCTCACAAGACTTAAAGTGTAGTAAAGATTTATAAATGCTATAGAAGGGTGATATGCACCGGGGCTTTCCTGCATTGCAGAGAAGGTTAGTTCCATAGAGAACCACTGAGATAAACTTGGCACCAACACCACGGTGGAGGGACCTTCTCTGAGACTTGATCGACACAAGTCGTCTCACACTCGTACACTACACGTAATAAATGATGCTTTGCTTAACATGATGGACTACATGCCATGATGCATGATGCATGATTAACAAGTGCATAACAGATCTTAACAAACTTAAGTCAGTTGAGTACAACTTTCCTTCACTAAGAACTAGGGTCTTAACAAACTTAAGTCATTTTAATTATTAACCACAAGTTCGTTAGTTGCTAACATGAAAGGATTAACTT